GCTGTCCATCTCACAAGAAGTGACTCTGGGTGGCGTACAATAATCAAATAAAACAGCAAATATATAAAATAATCATTATAAAAGTATAAAACAATCATTATTAAAAATTAAAATAATATTAAAAATTAAAATATACAAACCACAAGGCATGGAGACAGTGACTATATCAACCACAATAGAGGAGCCATCTTAAAATGTTACCAGTTCCCTGGGGGCCCCCAAGCCTGGTGACATAACCAGATCTTGAGGGACTTCCAGAACATAAAGAAGGATGAAGCTAACCTAACTTTGGGGGGGGAAATGTTTCATAAGGCAGACACCACAGCAGAGAAGTCCCACCTCCTGGGTCCCACCAAAGGTAAGTCCCTCACAGATGGTACCTGCAGCATGGCTTCTCTGCCGGATCTAATGGGATGGGCTGATGTAATTGGGGAGAGGCACTCCCTCAGATAACCCAAATAACGTTGCTATTTCTAAAGTATTTTCAGCTATTTTTTTGCCTAGTTTTTTGGAGAGCGAGTTCAATATCAGGGAACTGAAAAACTGCATCTGTAGGACTGGATATCTTGACTAGAGAGAAACCACTTTCTCCAGCATTACTAGCCAAACAGTCCAGCTGTTCCCTTTTCCAATCAGCAAATCTTCCTAGAGATGAATAGCTACATTGCGTAATGGTAGCCATATTTACAGGTCTCCCTTCATAAAATAGCTGAGAAGCTCTCACTCCCTGCCCCACTTTCCTCTCCACCCTCCAAAGCTGGAGCAAAAAAAAAAAAATCCATGGTGGTACAACAAGACATGGCACCATTGCAGACAGATTTGGGAAAGGCTTGCTCACCTTCCCCCATTTCTCCTTATGAACCATCCCTAAAGAATGAGTCCCTGAAAAGCCCCCATTTTCACAGAGTCTTTCTAAGACTTTAACTTAATCTCAGGTAAGGGTTAGCTAACCCAATAGCCAACAGTTCCCATGACACAGTAGGCTCAAGGGAGCATGCTAAATTCTATGGAGGCTATTCTGTGACAAATATAACCCTCTCAGGGTTAGCAGGTTAGGTCAATTTTATTTATTTACTTATCAGCATTATTCTCTGCCTTTTCTTAGAGAGCTCAAAAGTGCTCCCTCCTATTTTTCCTTACAACCACCTGTGAGATAGCCTGGGCTGAGAGACTGGCTCAAAGTCCCACAGTGAGCTTCCATGGCTGACAAACACCCACACCCAAATGCTGACCCAGTTAAACATGTCATGAGAACAAAGGCCATAGCTTTAAACAGAGAAAGGCACTATGACACATGCAATGGGTTATACGTTACACATTCCCTTGTCCCACATGATCAAGCAAAACGGTGTTCATGAGACTGATTCATTACTTGTTTCTTGTAGCATTTAGGGGTGACTTACATTTGGAAATGAGCCGGTATGATCAAGGATTCATACATAGGATTCATTCATTCATACATATATATGATTCATTCAGTCATGGGATTGCCTTTTTCATGGACTCCAGTTGACAAATTCCATTGAGAGTGAACAGTTGACTCTCCAAGTGATGGGAGAGCAAGAACCAAACATGCTTGGGCAAAATTCCCTTTAGTTTTGCTTGTAAAAATGGTTGCCACACTGCTTTTAGTTACATAGGTTTGTGCTCTTATTGCGTAACTGACATATACCCAATAAAACGCATATTGTTATACCCCACAAGTGCAATAATGAAATAAATGTATGCTTTTAGTTCATGTAAAACATATATTGGCAGGGCTACTTCCTCCGAGAGTTTAAGTCAGTTCCACGGAAAATGTAAGTGCAGGAAGAATTTATGGAAAAGTTTGGGGCAATTTGGAACCCAGCCCAACTCCATCAACTAAGAACAAACTTACTGACAGCTATTCTAAATAGTTTTAACTGACACAACACAATTAAAAAAAAAAAAGGCAAACTGTTGCCAAATCTGTTGGATAGTTAATAACTCCAACTGTTGCAGAAATCACTATAAGTCTGCACACCTTGAGACTTGTTCTAGGGAACTTGAGTGCAATGTGATGACTTTTTAAATTATAGGACTAGACTTTAAATTTATACACGGCCACCTACAGTACGCATAAGTTCTGAAAATGTACTCCAGCGATTTAAGTTATTTTACTGTCCACTCCAGGGATGGGGAATCTTTGGCCCTCCAGCTGTTACTGGACTACAGTTCCCATCACTCCTGACAATTAGCCAAGCTGATGGGAGGAGTCAACAATAGCTGTCTACTGGTTTCCCAGTCCCTGAGCTATCTCATCACAAGACAGTAAGCATCTTCTCCGAGAGTCACAGTAAGGCCCTTACTATCTTATATATGGTATTCTGTGGTCAATTACATGCCCACAGAACAGGGAAATTGAGCTTCTGCCTGGATGAAGACTGAACCACTGCAAAAATGGTGATCCCAGAAATTGTTTGGAAGTTTCAGAAATTTTAAGAAGTAAAATGGATGCTTTAAGCATCTGCAAGGTTTAAGGCATCCATTTTACTCTTTATCACCCTTATTTTAAAAAGTGGTCTTATTCCACCCACTGTCCACTCCAATCCCCTGTTGATTTCCTCCATGGTTTAATGGCCCTTCATAGGAAAAAAAAACTTTTCCAAGTCCCAGGCTAACTGATCAAATCCTCTCATCAAACATAAGGCAGGTCCATAAAGCTGATGTCCATTCTTTCTTTCTTTCTTAGTCAGCTTTGCATTTTCAACACTAAAGGTTATGACCACGTCTTATAAAAAAGGATCTTCTAATCTTCTGTGTTTTCTTCAACATATGAAATCATATACACAAAATTACTTACCCTGCTTGCCACTACCAGGTACACAAGGCCTTCAGCTGACCGAAGTAGAGCAACAGCATCTTGATGGGACAGACCAACCAAAGACTGGCCATTGATCATTAGAAGCTCATCGCCCACCTTCAGCCTGCCGTCTCTAAGAAAACAAAAAGAACAAAACCGCTTCATACCACCAAAAAAAACCCCTCATGTGTTTATCTCCTTCAGCCTTAAAAGAGGACATAACAAGCTGGAAAACTCATGCTGATATCAGGGGTCAAAGACAATGCTGGGTAGCTGCAGCTAAAATATGTCTTAGTAAACGTTTGCCTCCACCCCAAGATTAAGAAATGTGCAAATAAGCGGCCATGCTTGATCTGGAAAACATGACTCCATCCATCCTCTTCAAAGGGAAATTTCAAGGTGAACATCAGAAGCTCCATCTGCATTTTGTTAATAATGAATATTCAACTCCATGTTTACTTAACACTTTCCCTGGAGAGTCTCAGAATGCTTTATCAACTCCAACAGTAAGTAGGTCAGCTTCACCACTGAATTTTCACTCATTTGTTCTGGAGCAGTTAACTCTGCACGGACTCATTCTGGTCCTAGCACTCTTTCCTATCCTTCACAGAAAGGAATAGGACCCTTTTTGGTCAAGTCCCTTTAAGCATTTTTTTTTTTTTGAGTCAGTGGACTAATCCCATGTTAAGGCTCCTAGTCTGAGAATCTGATCTAATTTCTCATTAAAAAAAAAAAAAAAAGCCCTAAAACAAACACTTTTTCTTCCCAAGAAAGAGAGTTCTCAAATATAAGAATTCTCAAATCTCACTTTTCTTCCAAGAATTAATTCGCCCTTAAGGTGTAAGACTAAAGTCAAATTACACCTCACCCATCTTAGACTGCATTTTCAACACTGGAAATGCACCTTTGATCAAACAATAATTCTCACCTAGGTTGGCCAAAGCCAAGAGATTTTTCCTGGTCCTGGGCATTCTACATCTCCTAAAAAATACAATCTTATGAAATTTCTGCATTTTTCTTTCTTTCTTTCTTGCATGCCAGGAGTGCTTCTTGGGGTTGGATGAAGAGCCACGTTAATGACCTTGAAGTCTAAGTTAGGCCCTATCAATCTGGAAAAATCTTCATAGCTCCTCTACATACTATCCACTTTATATTAGACCTACTGGTGCTCATACAGATAACACGTACAATACTCCCTGGTGATCCATATTCCTTTTCCAGTGGTAATGAAAGTTTTATCTCAGGCCAAGCAGATTACATGCAGTAAAATGTGCTATAAAGGATTGGCTTTCTTTTTTTTAATCTTACAAATTCTTCCATTCTGCAGGAAGGGACAGCCTTGGATTCTTAATGCTGGAAGTGGGATTCTATTTGCCACAGGACAAATGGAGCTGAAGAAGGAAACACTGCTGCTGCTATTATTATTATTATTATTATTATTATTATTATTATTATTATTGTAGTAGTAGTAGTAGTAGTAGTAGTAGTAGTAGTAGTAGTAGTAGTATTTTGGCTATGGATTTGCAGAAGATTCTAGACTTCAGATGCCTAGTGCTGCCTTTCCCAACCTGGCTTGGAACAATGGGAGTTGTAATCCAGCGCAATGGGAGGATAAAAGATTGGTGAAGGCAGACTTAGTTGGTGAAAAACACCAGTGAGATACAGTGGTACCTCGGTTCACGAACTTAATTTGTTCCGCGACTCTGGATCTCGAATCAAATTTTCCCATAAGGTTCAATGTAAATACGGTTAATCTGTTCTGACCCCTCCGAATTTGGTCGCCAACTGATTTTGGTTGCGACCCGAATCAAATTTTCCCATAAGGTTCAATGTAAATACGGTTAATCTGTTCTGACCCCTCCGAATTTGGTCGCCAACTGATTTTGGTTGCGACCCGAATCAAATTTTCCCATAAGGTTCAATGTAAATACGGTTAATCTGTTCTGACCCCTCCGAATTTGGTCGCCAACTGATTTTGGTTGCGACCCGAATCAAATTTTCCCATAAGGTTCAATGTAATTACGGTTAATCCGTTCTGAACCATATTTTTTTTCTTTTTTTAAAACCACAAAAATATAACACAAAGTACAGTACGAAGAGAGAGAACGCTAACCTTGATCGAGGCGACTGGCGTGGAGGACAGGAAGGCAGGTGGGGAGGCAGTTATTGCTTGGAGGGAGAGTCCCCCTCGCTACCGGGAGGCACGACCACGGGTCATGGGAGGGGAAA